GTTCGTGTTATATAGAACAAAGAAAAGTGGAAAATAACCTAAATTCCCAACCATAGAAATAATTTCCATAATTAATAACATCCCCAAATGCTCATGATACAACATCCAATAAAAATGTAATAAAAACAATACATCATAGGCTCAAATCCTGTACAGAAAGCAGACTCATAGATGACGCACTCCACTCCAACATTTAGGTAGGGGTAATGGTGACATCTAAAACGTCACACGTCTGTCAGGAGGACCTCCCTGTGTGTTTCCGGATCATGTTTCCATTTCACTTTTTTGGTGAGTATTTCACAAGCAGCAGGAGTCCTGGGCTGAGGAACTGGAGGAGACTCACCAGTTACGACGCCCCAGAGGAAAAGTCCCAGACCCAGAGTCCAGCCCAGCCCGAGACCCAGCCAGCCCTCGGGAGGAGCCAGGACTTACTTGGTGGGACGATAATCCGGGATGGAACGGTCCAGCGAGATCTTTTCACTGAGGTAGGAATTGTAGCCGTACTTCTCGTGGGGACCCTTGGCCTTTTCCTCTTCAGCCGGGGAAAGGGTAGCAGGAAGGCCCCCTTTGCCCCGCCCACCGTAACCTTCAATGAGCCCCAGGGATTTGGATAAGCCTAGAAAAGAGGGAGAAAGAGAATTATTTGAAAAACCACCAACCAGGACATGCCAATCTCAGATGGAGCCTCAGTGGAGAAGTTTAACATCAGCTGTCAGAGAAAAATCACGGACTTGATGTCCGGATCCCGGTATGTGCCCTGAAGATACTTGTGTGCAGAGGACAGCTGGGCCAGGCTGGTCTGGGGTCCAAGGCTGGCTTCCAGGTGGGAGTGACTCCCTCCTCCTGGGAACTGTAGTGGAACAGGTCATCAGAAGGAGAGTCCCCTGAACTGGGAGACCAGGGCCAGAGGGACCTGGGAAGGGCGGGCTGGGCCTATCCCTGCCTGGTGTCCTCCCTGGGGGGCCGTCACAGCAGGACTGCATCTGCTGGAAGGAACGCACCCAGCACAGACCCAGAGAGCCAACGGCAGGTAGCTGCCGAGCTGCAGGGATTCTGTCTCATGTGCACCGAGAGCAACAAGCAGATTGATTTTATCACGAGTTCAGAGCGTGTAACGGCCTGACACAGCTCTTTACCTAATGGCTTTATTTAAATTTCATCTAATAGCAAAAGGAAATACAAAATGTCTGAGAATAAATCACAGAGAAGAAAAGAAGCCACAAGGGCAATAACCGTGCTGAGTGGAAAGCCCCAGAAAGGAGCCTCCCCAGAGACGGGGAGGCCCCAGGGAGCCCCCAGGGAACCTGGCCCCCTTGAGCCACTGTAGGGTAGACAGTGGGATGGCCACGTATAGACCCCAGAGTTAGGAGAGGCTCTGGTGCAAGGCTAGGAAATTTCTGCCCCTAGGCACCATTCCCCGTGGCCATTCCAGATGTTAAGCAACTCAGGGCATGCACAGGTGCACACATGCACACACGCACGCACGCACGCACGCACGCACACGCACACTCCTCCATCTCCGGTATCCGTCCTTTCCTTGCCACCATGACACAGGAATGGGGACCAGGGATGTGAGCAGCTCCCCCAGCCTCCATGGAGGGAAACCAGCCCCAGGCAGGACTCCAGAGCCAGGGCACGTGCCAATCAGTCTGCCCCAGTCACACCTGGGTCTCCGTCACACCATGGCAAGGTCCTGCTCTCTTTCCCACTTCTCTGAAAACGGAAATGGATTTTCTATGATGTCAGGAAAAGCAAAGGCCAGGCCAGCAGCTCAGCCCAACCCCAGGACACCATTCTCTGCCTGGGAACCACCTCCACCCTCCACGTGTCCCCCAGGAGGCCCAGCCTCCTCCCCGCCGCCCTCCCGGCAGGCACCCCTTCAACCCAGAGCAGGTTGCCCCGGAGCCCCTGCCCGTTTCCTTGCTGCCGCCTCACACCCCATGTCAGTGTGTGACAATAGTCCAAGAGCATCGTGTTGACCA